GGTCTCCCACATGGGTATCAGGGCCCCAAGCACTTGGGCCATTTTCTGCTGCTTTCTCAACCCATTAGCACAGAGCTGGATGGGAAGTGGAACAGCCAGGACAAGAACCCGCACCCATATGGAATGCTATTGTCTAGGGCTGCGGCTTTACAACTCTGCAGGACAATACTGGCCCCTCCTCAAGGTCTTTTAAAGATGATAGTTTCAAACTTTTTTAAACTCTTCCACATATAAAAAAGGAACCATTCAAAGTAATTTTATAAAGCAAATTCAGCTTCCTTAGAGGCAAATGTAATATGCTCACTGTACATGTCAATTAAAAAATTTTAAATGTTAAATTAAAGAATCCCAACAACATAAAAGAATAATACTTTGGTCTTCACGAAGAAGCAATGGTGATTCAGTATATACTTTTTCCTTTGACAATAACATTGATATGTGATAACATTGCTTGCAGAATGAAACTGGGTGGCTTGATCACATGGAAATGGAAACATTGTTAAAGATCTTTTTAATTCTGATTCATATGCATGTGTTACTCAGAAGTCTTAAAATATATATAACATATATATATGTTTACAATGGTTTGTTGATTAATTCAAAAGACAGAGAGACAGAGATCTTTCATCCACTGGTTCATTTCCCAAATGCCTACAAAAGTCTGGGTGAGGCCAGGGTGAAGCCAGGAACCAGGAACTCATATGGAGTTTCCTGCATTTGCTCCCAGAGTGCACATTAACAGGAAACTGGAATCAGGAGCAGAGCCAGGCATAAGTACAGGCTTGATAGGGCACTTGAGTGTCCCAAGTAGCATCTTTTTAATTTTTATTTAATTAATTAATTTATTTTTTGGACAGGCAGAGTGGACAGTGAGAGAGAGAGACAGAGAAAAAGGTCTTCCTTTTCCATTGGTTCACCCCGCAATGGCCACTGCGGCCGGTGCACCGCGCTGATCCGAAGCCAGGAGCCAGGTGCTTCTCCTGGTCTCCCATGCGGACACAGGGCCCAAGCCATCATCCACTTGGGCCATCCTCCACTGCACTCCCTGGCCACAGCAGAGCTGGACTGGAAGAGGAGCAACCGGGACAGAACTGGTGCCCCAACCGGGACTAGAACCCGGTGTGCCGGCACCACAGGCGGAGGATTAGCCTAGTGAGCCGCGGCGCCTGCCACAAGTAGCATCTTAACTCCTAGGCCAAATGCCTGCCTCTGTAGCTGGAAATTAACCGTCACTGTAGAATTGGTCCTGTAGTTAAAATTATATGATTTAGAGGTTTTTTTGGTACTGGGGAAAAAAATGAATTGTTCTTTGGTTTTGTTCAGTAGATTTTGCATATTACACAGCTCAGAATTCTTTAACAATTTTAATGTGTGTTTCTTTTGTTAATATTTGTAAGTTATTTATTCAAGATAGAGAGGAACAGATAGATTTCCCATGCACTGGTTCACTCTCCAAATGCCCACAGCAACCAGGATGAGGCTAGGAGTCCAGAACTCAATCCAGGTCTCTCACTGGGTGACAGAAACCCACTCCTTCCAGGTTGCACGTTAGCATGGAGCAAGAATTGGGAGCAGAGCCAGGACTTGAACTCAGGCACTCTGATATGAGATGCAGGCATCTAAAGTGGCGTCTCCGCTACTGTGCCAAACACCCACCCCATTAGAATGTGTTTTGCAGCATGTGATTTAATCAGGCATGAGCACGTGTTCTGCAATGACTAAACCTGTTAGCCATCTTCAAGCCATTGTCTGCAGCATCTTGGATTGTCCTGCAAGTTTGCCCAAACTTGTTCTCTGCAGAAGTTAGCCTATGAAGCTTTTCCTTAATTGAACACTGGGTTTGAATGTATGCGCTGTGAAGTCTAAACTGCATCAGACTGGAAGACTGTCCCTCTCCACCTGTGAATTTCCAGGTTTTTTCCTTGTCAGGTATCTAATTCCCTTTCACGCTATTTGAAGAAATAAGGAGTTGATTTTTGTGGAGTCATATTTGTTCTGTATCCCTACTTCCTTGGGAAATGCCCTTGATAAGGACACCTGTGACTTAGGTCACATACACACTCATTTATGCTCCCGGACCTGGCAAAGTTCCTTACACCTTAGTGACTCTGTTTAAACCTTCCAAGATACTGAAGCATCAAAAAGACTGTAATGTGCCCTCTCTCCTCTTGCATAAAATTAAAAATAAGATTGTTTACACAGTGACACTAAAATGTTATATACAGGCTGGAATAAAAATAGTTTCTAGGTACTCTGATTGTGAAACTCTAGACAGTTATATTAAACTTTCTGAAGCTAGAATGTTTCTTTGTCTACACTTCCTCAACCTATTTTTTCTGTGTACTTTATTTTTACACTAAACTTACTATTAATTTCCCTGTTGTAAAATTCTTGTCCCTTTCTGTTCTTTCATGGCTTGAATCCAGGCTGTCATTAAATCCCATGTGGTTTTGTATTCTGAAGTAACAGGTTTACCTGCTCACTTCCCTACTTAACTCTTTTCTACCTTGAGATTATTCTGAAATTCTGTCATCTGTACTTTTAAGAATTCTGTCCTCTATTCTGTACCCAGAGTTGAGTCTTGTCTCAAGAGTGGGAAAGCATGAAATATAGAGGAAAAATGCATGACGATAGGTTATAGACATGTATAATACCACTAGCATATTTTTGCCTATAATTGTATATTTCCTTTGCATATTGTATCTGTGCAGTGCTGCTGATTTTTTTTGGGTCGGGGGAGCGGGTGCTGGAATAGTTCTAACTTATTTCTGGATTATGATTTTCCTCATGCAGAACCTAAGAAATTTACCTGGAAATAGAATTCTGCACTGCAAAATTGAGCCCTTTTAGTATTTTTTATATGTACAGTGTACTATAAGCAACATTTGAATTTGCATCATGAACTTAGATTCTCTGTGAGACACCTGCCACCAAGATCACTGGCCAGCTAGGGAATAATTACAAGCCCCAAAACCAACAAGAAGGACCACAACAATAATCTGTTTATTTAGATACCACAATCGACTGCACCAAATTTTTGTGGTTTGGATTGTCTTTTGTCACAATCTTTATTTTCTTGAGACCCATAAATTTATCCTCACAATAGGATTTGCTATAGGCCTTATCGTCCAGCTATTTTTGACCTTTAAGAATATTTTTAAAGGATAATAAAGAGGCAAAAGAAAAAAGTCAGTTGAATACAGAAACACATTAACCACCAGAAGCAATCAACCTTACTATTAAACAAACAAATTCCTATCAAATTAGAAAGTTAAACAAATGATCGGCTAAAGTACAGGTGGTGACAGTCCAAATTGTTGTAGACTTTCTGGAGAGTAGTTTGGCAATATGCATGGAGAACTTTAAGCAATTCTTTTGTCTTGGATTTCACCACTAGAAATGTACGAAGAGAATAATCGTAGTAAATGTTAAAGTGTGTGCGAAGACACTCACTTAGATATTGTTTGTAATAGGAAAATGTATTAAATTATGTTATTCACTAAAGTGTTTAAGGACAAAAGGCCAGAATGTTTATAACCTACCTTCCGTGTTCAGAAAAAAAAGAATTCAGTGTACACAAAGACACATACACACACACAAGCTGCAAATGACAAAGCAAATGTTAACAAAGGCAAATAAGAGCAAAGGGTGTTCCTTGTACTATTTGTATTTCTCTCTAAGTTTTTAAAGTATGGTATTTTGAAATTCTGCACAAATTTAAAATCATGGGTTTTTATTTGGATCACATATTTATTCACTAATTGATGTTAGACCAGTTCTGTAATTGGGGAAGATATTGTGTGTGTGTGTATTAATGATTTATTTGAAAGGCAGATTTACAGAGAGAGAGGTCTTCCATCTGCTAGTTCACTCCTTAAATGGCTGTAATTGCCAGCACTAGGCTAGACTAAAGCCAGGAGCTTCTTCTGGGTCTCACATGTGGATGCAGGGACCCAAGGACTTGAACCATCTTCTGTTGCTTCCCCAGGAGCATTAGCAGGGAGCTGGATCAGATGTGGAGCAGCTGGGACTTGAACTGGTGCCCGTATGGGATGCCGGCATTGTAGATGGTGGCTTAACCCATTGCACCACAGCGCCAGGCCCGGGGAAGACATTTTGAAGTTTATTTGAATTCATGGTTACAGGGAGTGGAGGGATTTTGATGATCTTGAACTGTGTTTGCCAAGAACTGTTCCCCAAAGATCTGGTATAAATTTATAGTCAGGATTAGTCTGGCAGCTTTGTAGTCATGATTCTGCTTTAATCAATACGATCTACCATAATTTGTAAATTAAGTCTTTCCTGAGATGAATGTGTCATAGAGAGCCTTTCATTCTAAACTAGCTTTTTTTAGGGGGGTGAGGGGTACGAGTATATAATATATGGATGTCTTTGATACTTTTAGTGGAGTATTCATGGTAAAATTGAAAAATTTTCCCAGGTATCATCTCTTACTAAAGAGATCTTTTGAAACATTCTTTGACCCTTGTTTGCATTCAATTTATTAGCTATATATTTTATATAATAGCACAATGATAATACTCACCATAATTTACATATGCACTTGAGAAAGTACTTTTTCACAGAAGGGAGTCCTTGTTGATATTATTTTATGATGATAAGAAACATTTTGGTTTACTATATCAAAATAATTATTCTTCTCCAGGGAGTATTCCATTTTATGACTTAGATAGGCTATATTATTAATAGGAATTATCTGAGTGTCCTGTGTTAATTAAGAAATTTGGAAGAACTTAGCTCATTAAAGATACTGTTAAAATTGTGATATGTTGCTATTATGTAAAAATGTTTACTCGGTGTTAGAAGGACTGTGATTGCTTATTGAATTGAAAACAGTCTCTGGTCATACAGTTGGAAAAGTATCCCAACTAGTGCATAAGCATTAGTACTGTGCTAGTCACTTATGATTTATTTAGGTGATCGAAAACTAAGATCGATGCTTCTTGTTTAACCTCTTTACCCTTTGTCTGTCCCCAAAGCTGTGCATGGATTCCTGTTATGGGCGAGGGCTACAGGATTGGCAAGAAATGAAGCATCTGGCTGTTCTAAGTGTATGATGATTTTATTTTCTTTTTAAAACAAATGGTGATTGGATTTAGTGGCCCAGACTTTTGTGGACAGATTGATTAGTTTCTGACAAATGTTTAAACTGAAAATGTTGACATTAATACTTCTCGAAGACCTACAAAGTTCTTTGATACTTAGTCCATTTTTATAAGATCTGTAACCCCTAGAACTGCCCTGACTCTGGGTGTCATTCTCACTACGGTGAAGATTTTTCATCTGTTTACATTTAAGAAACTTATGGCTTAAAAAAAAAAAAAACTTATTTTTTGTTTTATTTGAAAAACAGAGAGTGAGCAAATGTTTTCTACCTGCCAGATCGTTACCCCAATGCCCACAACAGTCAGAACTGGGCCAGACTGAAGCCTGAATCCCAGAACTCATTTCAGATCTCCCACATAGGTGTTAGGGACCTAAGTACTTGAGCTATTGCTTCTGCCTCCAGGGTATATGTTAGTAGGAAACTGGATTGGAAGTGGAGTCAGGATTTGAACCAGGCATTCTGGTGTGGGATGCAGACATCCCAAATGATCTTTTAACCACTATACCAAATGCACATCCCAATACACAATTTCTTGTTGGCCTTCGCTCAACTCATTTGAACTGTTTTAGTCTCCTCACCATATATGGGAAAATTCTGTTGTGAGTTTGAGGCACCTAATAGCAATCAGGATATGTAAACTAACAAATGAGGAAGAAAAGAAAAACAGGGAAGAGAAAGGGTGGGGGAGGAGTGGGAAGTTGGTTAGAGAGAGCCTGAGGCTGTCATCCTTGCCAGCCAGTATAGTCCAGAGCTGGCCTCTCTCTCTAACTTCGACCCCTTTGTTCCTGACTATCATTCCCTGCTGTGACAGCTTCCCCTTGCTAGGCTTCCTCAAGTTTCTGCTTTCACACAATTCTAAATGTGAATAGGAGACTCTTTCATTTCCCTTTTCTAATAAGTAGCTTACTTTAAGTAGGCTGGAGTAAAAGTCCCAAATATTCCTCCAGAGATTTTGGTCTGTTCAATCATTCACCTAGTCTCTTGAAACAAAACGTTTTGAGTCTTTAATTAATTGGACATGATGAAATGAATTCCATGTTGATGTTTTTTGGTCAAAAATTCATCTCATGTTTGCTGTAGATTTGCATCTGTAAATTTAATTATTCCTTTAGTTACGTGTTACTTTCAGCTTATATAATGGTGAGTACTATTATCTTTAAACATAAAAGAATTATTATAATCTCATTTCACAAGCCCACTCAGTAGGGCTGATGTGTTCTTTTAAAAGATTCTGGCACAAGGATTAAATAGTAATGGAAGTTGTCAGCTTGACAGTTCCCTTCGTGGAATTCACCAGAGCTCATTGACGTCATCCAGGCTGGAGGGCCTGGTCTCTCTGCCAATGTCTGACAAGATGTAATGCAAAGAATAAGCTTCTTCACTAATTTTTTGTGTCCTTACAATTGCAAGGTTGTTTGTGGGTTTCCCCCCCATTTTCTTTTATTGTTGGCACACAGCAGTGTTCCGGTCCATGTAAATGTGTTCTCTCCATTAGCTTGAGCTCTGTTCATTTTAGCACTTTGCTCCACCCCGTGTGAGAGCAGTGGGGAAACCTTTCAGGGTATTTACATTGGTGTCCTAAAAGCTCTTAACTTTGAGCTTTCTGTTTTATTCACCTTTTTATTCCTGGTCTCTGGCAGCATCTGGCTCATAGCAGAGATTGCATATAGTTTTATTGCACTGAATTGACTCAAGCGCTGTGTCTTCTCCAGGTGGAATTTTATAGGGTCCTGTTTGCAGTTCTCGGCATGTCATCTGTATTAACCGTTAACCAAGTTCAGGCTGGCTGCTGCCCTTTCTCTCGAGTCAGGTGTCTCCTGTTGTCTTTATGACTTACCATGAAAACACAAAATTCTCCCGAAATTGTCCCTTAGTTCCTCATGTGCATTTAACTTTGGATTGTTTCCCATCTTCCTCACTGGGCTGTGTTGGGCTTGGGACATTTGTTTCCTGCTTGGTTATACGTTGTGAGAGGACACCTATTTCTGGATGTGTTTTGAGCTCATGTAACACAGGTTCTATCATGTTGGATTCTCTCAGTCCTTAATATATAATGGCTCCTATACAAAGGTGCATTCTGTTCGGAGGCTTGGAGTACTTAATTCTTCTTCACTTAAGCAGGGGGGACTGTCCAGTCTGTGGGCCATATAAAATCTGCAACATCATTTGGTCTGGCCCTGCTGAGGCAACAACAGGTGGACCTGAAATTCACCAGATCTATAGTGGGCTAATTGTTAGGTTGATGATTTTGTATGGCCTGCAAATGATGTTATAAATATCAAATGCCCTTGGCAGAAAAAAGTTTCCCCACCCCTGCCAAGGCATAAAAGTTGTTTGCTTGGCATTTCCCCAACCATACATTTTTTTTTTTGGGGGGGGGAGTGGTTACAGTATTCCTCTTTCTCCTTTTTTTTAAAAAATATTTAATTCTTCTGAAAAGCAGAGAGATAGAGAAATGAACAAAAAGAGATCTCCCATCTGCTAGTTTACTCCCCACATGCCCACAACAGCTGAGGCTAGGCCAGGCCAAAGCTAGGAGCTGGGAACATGATCCAGGCTTCCCACGTGGGTGACAGGGACACAGCTGCTTGAGTCATCCCCTCTGCCTCCCAGGGTGCCCATTACAGGAAGCTGGGACTTGAACTCAAGCCCTAGGACAAGGGACACAGGCATCCCGAGCTGTATCTCAGCTGCCACACCAAATGTCCATCCTTTCCTAACCTGTGTGCTGTGCTTGCTGATCAGTACTTTCCTACTCACAAGCATACTGTTGTCCAACCATGATTTGTTTGGTCTGCTAAAGTGGCTGTCCATCATTTGTAATGTAGTTTCTCATTGAAACTGGAGCGTGCCAGCCTGTACTTAAAGTTGTAGCATTATAGACAAGGGTCATATTTTACCTGGAGTTCTATTAAATTTTAGTTTGTTCCCAATCATTTATTTGTCTTGAAATCATATTTGGTTGTTTCAAAAAACATCTTAGTAGTTCACAGAGCTGTCACAGGAAGCAGTAATCGCATGTGCAGATTTTCCCCTGTTGGTTCTGTGACCTGTGCTCCTCCTTCCTTTCTGTCACAATCCCTCTCGAAGTGGTGCTGGTGGCTGTTAGCAGTGCTGTCCTGAACTGCGGTAGCAAGCAGCGTGCTGCTCCTTGTATGTGTGTTCTTAAAAACTTACTGTAGTTTTCCAGGTAATTCTGAAATGCCTACCTTTGAGAACCGCTGATTTTTGTTTCTTCTTTGTTCCCAACTTGAAAGAACAGAATGTTCTGTCTTCTAGATATCTTCTGTAACTTCATAGCATAAATTAGGAACTGACATGAATTGAACCTTAATCTTAATACCGTTTCATGGCAGTTTAATTCTACTTGTGCTTTGGAGAATTGGCGAAATTGGAAATGCAACTTAAGGCTTCGTTTTATATGCATGTTTTGAAGGAAGTGCTGCATTAAGGCCCTGTGTTTTTTCTTTTCCTCCTTTCTTTCTCAGCTCCCTTAATAAAGGGATTAAGAATTTAATGAATAAGGAGCTTATATTCAAGGCCTGAGTTTAAGCATACAAGGAACCCAACATCCTTTATAGCCTACCTCTGAAGGGTGAAAAAAAAGTCTAATGTGTGACATTGATTGTAATCTTTTTAGAGGGTTTTCTACCTCTTATATTATTAAATCCTATCAAAGTGAACATTGGATCCTGCAAAAATAAGGTTCTGCGAATCAAGGGAAAAATATTGGTTCTATTTTATTTTTTATTAACATTTATATAATTTTAGATTCTGAGTAGCTCATTTATTTGATTTATAATGAAATTCGGACTACATCCTCTCTAAGGTAATCTTTGCATACTTTAAAGTCTTTTAAGTGTGTGCATTTTCTAGAGTACTTACGAGTGCAGTGGTCTTCAGGATGAAGTTTTATGGTCATGAAAAATAAATCTGGCTTTGTTAAATACTTGAAGTCATATGTTTAATAATATTTGACGTTTGTAATAATAACTGTCAATTGTTTTTTGCATATTATTTGCCAAGAAATGTGCAAATATGTTCGGCATATATTATTTAATCTTTACAACAGTCCTGTGAGGTCTGTTTAACAAACAGGTGAAGAGAGAAAGGCAGAGAGATCTTCCATCTGCTGGATCACTCCTTAAATGGCTGCATTGCAACGGCTAACGCTGTCTGAAGCCAAGAGCTTATTCCAGGTCTCCCACGTGGGTGCAGGGACTCAAGCACTTAGGCCATCTTCCACTGCTTTCCTAGGCACATTAGCAAGGAGCTGGATAGGAAGTAGAGCAACTGGGACTAGAATCGGCGCCCATATGGGATGCTGGCACTGTAGAGCAGCGGCTTTTACCCTCTGTGCCACAGCACCAGCCCTGGATCAGAGATCTAAAATTAACTTACTTGATACAACAAAACTAGCAAAAGTGACAGAACTGGAATTGAAATCAGATGTGTCTAACTCCCAAGCTGTTATCTGTCCACTCTGCTGTCCTGGCTCTCCATGTCCACACCACTTCTCCACTAAAGACCTTTATCCACATATACACTTCTCATAAATGTAAGATAAGTGTAATTACGCAACAGTAGTCTTTTAGACTTGCTTCCTGTTCTATTCGAGAGAAACTCAGAGAAAGAGATTAGAACGTCAAGTGTTGGCGGTTGGGGTAGAGATTGTTTAGCCTTGTGATTGAGATGCCCAGATCCCATAACAGAATGCCTGGGTTCAGTGCCAAGGAGCTCCGGCTCTTGACTCCAGCTTCCTCCTAATGCACACCCTGGGAGGCAGCGGTGATGGCTCAAGTGGTTGGTTGGGTCCCTGCTACCCACTGGGAGACCTGGATTGAGTTCCCAGTTGCTGGCTTTAGCCACCAATATGGGGCCATTGTAGGCATCTGGGGAACAAAGTTTTCAGATAGAGCTCTCTCTGCCTCTCAAATAAATAAA